GGCCCCCTCTCTCGCTCCCCTCAGGGCTGGGGGTGCCCCTGAACGCAGAGCAGAGGGGGCAGTGGGCCCAGGCTCGAGGCCTTTGTCACGGACACGGGGCCAGGAGCCTCAGCCGCTGGCCAGCCCTGCCCCGGGCTCGGGCCATCTGCTCCTGCCTGCTCTCGCCTGCCTCCTGTTTGCGGGGGTCCACGTGTGTTGAGCCTGACGAGCCCCAGAGGGCCCCAGCAGAGACCGCGTGGCCCCCAGAAGGGGGGATAGAAGGTTCTAGAAGGAGCGTGGACAGCTTTGGCCTCCCCTAAGGCGGCGGTGATCACACTAGTCCCCGGCCCACCCCCCATCTCTCCTTTCCTCCCTGTCTGCACCTCTTCCCAGCCTGCACCTGGCGACACGGTTGGCGCCTTTCCAGGGGTGAGGGGAGCCGGCGGGGGCCCCTTCCTGGAAGCCCACCTGCAGGCCTGCCCCTCGCCCCCCGCCCCGCCATTTCCTGGAACCGGTCACTGTGGACATTCTGTCCCTCGTCAGCACCGTGCGTGCATAAAGCAGACACTGAGCTCCTTGTCCTGTGGGGGCCCGAGCTCCGTCACCGAACACCTGGCCGGACACAGGCGGGCAGCGCGGGTCCACGGGGAGCAGCGGGGGCCTGGGGCCGGACCAGCAAACAAACATGGGCGCCAAGCGCGGGGGGCTCTGCGTCCCCACTTCTGCCCGAAGCCTCCGCCGCTCCCTGTGCCAGGCCCCGCACCACCGTCCTGTGCGGGCAGAACCCAGGAGGGGGTGGGGGGGATCTGTGCAGACCCCCGGGGCCCTGGGGGAGGCAGGCCGGGGCTTCCCACGCTTTGCAGAAACCCATCTGCCTGGAGAGGAGGCTGGGGCGGGGGGAGCGGGAGCCGGAGCCAGACGGGAGGGTGTGGTAGATTAGGGAGAGAGCTGGACCACAAGCCTCCCTGCTCGGGCGGGAAGAGGGGCCCCAGGGCTCGGGAGGGTGGGGGCGACGTGCCGGCAGTTCGGAGCCTGTGGGTCTGGTATGCAGCCCAGAGGGTGGGAGGCGGGGGAGAAGGCTGGGATGGGAAGGCCATTCCCTGAGTTTCTGAGCCAGGAGGGAGAAGGGTGGGGGGAGAGGCCGGCAGCACCACGCAGATCCCACTCTGGGGCCCAGAGCTGCCTCGGGGTGCCGGGCAGGGCACAGGCCACTTGCAGGGCTGGGAGCAGTGGGCTTGGGCAGGGATGCAGGTCAGGCCCGGGGGCGCAGATGGGGGCACGAGGCAGGCAAGGGAGCACAGACGCCTCCCCAG